CCAAAGAGTTTTGGAGAGGCTATTTTTGTCCACATTTTTGTACATAGTTGCTCTAAGTTGTCCTCAAGTTTACAGTTTCCTTGGACATCCCATATACCCCTAGACCCCTTCCAAGTCGTTAACCCCTTATAACAACAAAACCAAGCTCAAGGACCCCAGTGTGCAAAGTGTGGAAGCTGTGGCCTGGCTGTGCATAGCTTTTGGGGGACCCAAAACTCAATGACTCCTAAGGGGGTAATGCTACAATTGGAATAAATTTCCTTATATCACCTTTATTCACATATAGCACTAATCAGATCGTCCTTGTGTTGCACGCTATACAGGTCCTTCTCAACAAGGATTCTGTGGAACCCAGGGTTCCTCCAGAGGTTGCTAAGGGTTCCCTGAGATGTGGCTGACTGTCCTCCCACCTGATGGTACCTGCATAGCTCTGGGGCCATCACCATTTTGCAGAGCCAGCGGCATAACAACAATGATCTATTTAGTCATCTGTGGCATTCTGACCAGGGGCGGACTGGCCATTTGGACTCTCGGGCACTGCCCGAGGGCCCGGGGTCAGTAGTGGGCCCCATGAGATGCCCCTGGTACCTTTTTCATAGGCTTTTTTGAGTTTGTGCAAGGACACAGGGGCCCCATGATCCCCTATTGCCCGGGGGCCCCATGAGTTGTCAGGCCGCCCCGGATTCTGACAGACATTTTAGGGGAGGAACTCTTAACACTGGCCAGTGGCCACTATTAAAATGGCTTTAGCAAGGTTTCCCCAAGACCTGAATATTAGTTTAAGGTTTCCTCATGGCTAAAAAGGTAGAGAAAGGTCGCTCTATACTGTAACATATCTCACTGTGGTTATACAGGCCAACAACATAGTCACCTGTGTGTCTCTGAACTCATCAGTGTAGACTAGCTGGGCACCCCCTCCTTTCCAGTGATGACCTTGGATTGACATCAGCAGTTAACAACAGAACTTAGATCATAGATGCTACTGCATACATGTACATATCTACAAAGCTTGTTGTAAGGCTAGTCTACACTTACACCCCCCATCTTCTGAGGAACCACAAGAACTACCATATTTTGACTGCATAGACATACGATGATATGTAATATCCCAGCAGCTAAGTACACTTTATGGCCACAAGCTGTCTGGACATCCTATTATAAAGCCATTGGCATTAATATGAAATTGACCCCTTTGTGGCTATAACAGCCTCCATTCTTCTGGGAAGGCTTTTCACAGGATTTTGGAGTGGCTCTGTATGTTTTGTTGCCCACTCTAAAATCGAAAAGAGTTAGATCCAGTGCTGATTTTTGACAAGAAGACCTGGCTCACAATCAGCATTCCAAAGGTATTCAGTACGGTTGCGGTAAGGGTGCTGTGCTCAGTAGGATCAAGATCAAGGTTCTGAGTTCTGTAGGGTTGAGGTCAGGCCTCTGTGCTCAGTAGGGTTGAGATCAAGGTTCTGACTTTGGTAGGGTTGAGGTCAAGGCTCTGTGCTCAGTAGGGCTGAGTTGAGATCAAGGTTCTGACTTTGGTAGGGTTGAGGTCAGAGCTCTGTGCTCAGTAGGGTTGAGTTGAGATCAAGGTTCTGACTTTGGTAGGGTTGAGGTCAGGGCTCTGTGCTCAGTAGGGTTGAGATCAAGGTTCTGAGTTCAGTAGGGTTGAGGTCAGGGCTCTGTGCTCAGTAGGGTTGAGGTCAGGGTTCTGAGTTCGGTAGGGTAGCGGTCAGGCCTCTGTACTCAGTAGGGTTGAGATCAAGGTTCTGATATTTGGTAGGGTTGAGGTCAGGACTCTGTGCTCAGTAGATTTGAGTTCAGGGGTCTGTGCCTAGTAGAGTTGAGGTGAGGGCTCTGTGCTCAGTAGGGTTGAGGTGAGGGCTCTGTGCTTAGTAGGGTTGAGCTGAGGTCAGGGCTCTGTGCTCAGTAGGGTTGAGGTCAGGGCTCTGTCCTCAGTAAAGTTGAGGTCAGGGCTCTGTGCTCAGTAGAGTTGAGGTCAGGGCTCTGTGCTCAGTAGAGTTCAGTTCAGGGCTCTCTGCTCAGTAAAGTTGCGGTAAGGGTGCTGTGCACAGTAGGATCAAGATCAAGGTTCTGAGTTCTGTAGGGTTGAGGTCAGGACTCTGTGCTCAGTAGGGTTTAGGTCAGCGTTCTGAGTTTGGCAGGGTAGAGGTCAGGGCTCTGTGCTCAGTGCTCAGTATGGTTGAGTTGAGATCAAGGTCCTGACTTTGGTAGGGTTGAGGTCAGGGCTCTGTGCTGAGCAGCGTTGAGATCAAGGTTCTGAGTTTAGTAGGGCTGAGGTCAGGCCTCTGTACTCAGTAGGGTTGAGATCAAGGTTCTGACTTTGGTTGGGTTGAGGTCAGGGCTCTGTGCTCAGTAGAGTTGAGTTCAGGGGTTCAGGGGTATGTACTCAGTAGAGTTGAGGTCAGGGCTCTGTGCTCAGTAGAGTTGAGGTGAGGGCTCTGTGCTTAGTAGGGTTGAGCAGAGTTCAGGGCTCTGTGCTCAGTAGAGTTGAGGTCAGGGGTCTGTGCTCAGTAGAGTTGAGGTCAGGGCTCTGTGCTCAGTAGAGTTGAGGTCAGGGGTCTGTGCTCAGTAGAGTTGAGGTCAGTGCTCTGTGCTCAGTAGGGTTGAGGTCAGGGCTCTGTGCTCAGTAGGGTTGAGGTCAGGGCTCTGTGCTCAGTAGAGTTGAGTTCAGGGCTCTGTGTTCAGTAGGGTTGAGTTGAGGTCAGAGTTCTGTACTCAGTAGAGTTGAGGTCAGGACTCTGTGCTCAATAGGGTTGAGGTCAGGGCTCTGTGCTCAGTAAGGTTGAGGTCAGGGCTCTGTGCTCAGTAGAGTTGAGGTCAGGGCTCTGTGCTCAGTAGGGTTGAGGTCAGGGCTCTGTGCTCAGTAGAGTTGAGGTCAGGGCTCTGTGCTCAGTAGGGTTGAGGTCAGGGCTCTGTGCTCAGTAGGGTTGATGTGAGGGCTCTGTGCTCAGTAGGGTTGAGGTCAGGGCTCTGTGCTCAGTAGAGTTGAGGTCAGGGCTCTGTGCTCAGTAGGGTTGAGGTCAGGGCTCTGTGCTCAGTAGAGTTGAGGTCAGGGCTCTGTGCTCAGTAGAGTTGAAGTCAGGGCTCTGTGCTCAGTAGGGTTGAGGTGAGGGCTCTGTGCTCAGTAGGGTTGAGGTCAGGGCTCTGTGCTCAGTAGAGTTGAGTTCAGGGCTCTGTGTTCAGTAGGGTTGAGTTGAGGTCAGAGTTCTGTGCTCAGTAGAGTTGAGGTCAGGACTCTGTGCTCAATAGGGTTGAGGTCAGGGCTCTGTGCTCAGTACAGTTGAGGTCAGGGCTCTGTGCTCAGTAGAGTTGAGGTCAGGGCTCTGTGCTCAGTAGGGTTGAGGTCAGGGCTCTGTGCTCAGTAGAGTTGAGGTCAGGGCTCTGTGCTCAGTAGGGTTGAGGTCAGGGCTCTGTGCTCAGTAGGGTTGAGGTGAGGGCTCTGTGCTCAGTAGGGTTGAGGTCAGGGCTCTGTGCTCAGTAGAGTTGAGGTCAGGGCTCTGTGCTCAGTAGGGTTGAGGTCAGGGCTCTGTGCTCAGTAGAGTTGAGGTCAGGACTCTATGCTCAATAGGGTTGAGGTCAGGGCTCTGTGCTCAGTAGAGTTGAGGTCAGGGCTCTGTGCTCAGTAGAGTTGAGGTCAGTGCTCTGTGCTCAGTAGAGTTGAGGTCAGGGCTCTGTCCTCTGTAGAGTTGAGGTCAGGGCTCTGTGCTCAGTAGAGTTGAGGTGAGGGCTCTGTGCTCAGTAGAGTTGAGGTCAGGGCTCTGTGCTCAGTAGAGTTGAGGTTAGGGCTCTGTGCTCAGTAGGGTTGAGGTCAGGGCTCTGTGCTCAGTAGAGTTGAGGTCAGGGCTCTGTGCTCAGTAGAGTTGAGGTCAGGGCTCTGTGCTCAGTAGGGTTGAGGTCAGGGCTCTGTGCTCAGTAGAGTTGAGGTCAGGGCTCTGTGCTCAGTAGAGTTGAGGTCAGGGCTCTGTGCTCAGTAGGGTTGAGGTCAGGGCTCTGCACAGGACACTTGAGTTCCTCCACACCACATTAGTCAAAATATGTCTTTATGGAGTTGGCTTTGTACACAGCAGGCAGTCATGATGGAACAGAAAAGGGTCTTCGCCAAACTGTTACCACAAGGCTGAAAGAGCACAGTTGCCCACAATGTTTTTGTATTAACAGAATTCTTCAGTGGAAACACCTCAACTCATCATATGAAGGGAGGGTCACATACCTTTAGCCGTACAAGGCAGCTGCAGTGAACTTAGCACTTTTTGCTAATACAAAGGAATCTCAATTTATTCTTTTCTTTGTTATTTTTTTTTTCTGTTAATCCCAGATTGTATGACTCACGCAGTACACATATGCTGAACATGAAAAGCAGCATTGCAAAATCACTATTATTTACACTTTATCAGATGTCACAAGACGTATGTGACTTCTTTCTGGGCAAGTTGTCATTTCATCTTCAACTTGTCACCTGATTTCACAGCTTGTTGCCTTCCACCTTCAAACCCTAAATTACTAAAACTATCACATTACACCTGAGCCTCCAATCATTTTTCTGTGACACGATATTGACACTTTCAAGGTTATCCTGGATGCAATCAGTTGATGTACTCAAACACCTTGGTTAGCAAACTCCATCTCATCAATTTCTACAAGAAAATGAACCATTTTAATCTCTATATGCACAAGCCTTCAGAGACAGATTAAGGCAGAAGGGGGCCCTAGGCAAGGCAGCATCTTTGCCCCCATCCCCCTTCCTAGATCTCTGATTGACACTGATAAGGATTGCAGTAGGTACAGGGAAGCTTTTTATTTGCATTTTCTCTTCTGGCTTGGCCCACTCAATTGCCTAAAAAAGGCATCTTCCTTTGTGAAGTGACAGGCAGGTGTACAGCTAAGACTAATTGCACCATCGTCCTGCTTTACTGCAGAAATGATGATTTTAGCTGGGCCCCCTGGACTTCCACCGGGCCCTAGGCTCTCTTGCCAATGTTGCCTTGTGGATAATCCAGCTCTGCAAGTCATGCAACTGATTGGGGGTCCACTTGTGATAGTCTGGCAATGGTGGTGGTGGTTACCTTCTGAGCAGGGACAGACTGACAACTCATGGGGCCCCCGGGCAATAGGGAATCATGGGGCCCCTATGTCCTCACCCACACTCACACCACACCCAAAAAAAGCCTATGAAAGGTGCTAGGGGCATCTCACAGGGCCCCCTACTGACCCTGGGTCCTCGGCATGGCCCGAGAGCCCGAATGGTCAGTCCCCCCCTGCTTCCGAGCAATAACAACATTTGCACGGTGTCAATCAAGAAGATTTTTTACAGCTTGCTAGAAAACCTTCATGGCCACCCAGCGATCATTCCCTTTTTCTCCATGGAGAAGTGAATGGTCCCTCTATTACAAGTACACTGCATCTGTGCACCAGGTAAATCCAGGTTTAAAATCTTCATGGATCTCTATAGTGTAGGCAAGCTTTTACTAACCGTCAGTAGGAGGGATAATCATTTTGATTTTGTTTTCCATCTATCTTGCCAAGGTCTGGAAAAATAATATTTATGGATCATGTTTGATTGTAAGTATAACACCTTGTAGGTTCATTACAGCTGAGTGCTCCATATTTATGGTTTGTTAACCCAATGCCAAGTTATCATCAGGAATTCTTCAGCTGGCTAGAGATGATCATTTTTGTTTTTGTTCATCATTGGGCTGAATGAAAAAAAAAAAAAGATTTCTCCATCCACACAACTGAGGTGGATGGAGGAATACCCCCCTCTAGGGCGATGTAATGGCGGCAGCCGCTGATGATCGACAAAATGTTTTCCACTTTGTTCATTCAATGGAAGTTGACCCAGTGATTGACTTCTGTTGAACAGGGACAGCCACACATACCTTGAAATTCGGCCAGACCCTCCTGAACCAACTGAGTTTAGATCCATTTACGGCTAACTTTAGACTGGTCCCATTGGTGTAGAAAGCTGTCCATGAATGACCAACCAAGGTTGCACTAGAGGAACTGGCCAGATTTCGGTGTTTGCAGTATATTGAAAGACTTTATTGTATTATTATTGTAAGGATGTGGCTGGCCAGGCATTTACTTTCACAAGAAATGGAACCACTTAACTAATTATTTGTGGCAAAGAGGAATAATGTGGGCTTAATACTAGTTCCAGCATGATGGCAAATCTGTGTGAGTGATCAGCAATTCTGCCTTTCTTCCAGGCTGTCAGTCAGAGATTACACTGCTGTCATTGTAACTTGCATATCCACACAATTTTGGGTCCATCAGGGGTGGACTGACCATTTGGAAACTCGGGCACTGCCCGAGGGCCCGGGGTCAGTAGGGGGCCCCATGAGATGCCCCTGGTACCTTTTTCATAGGCTTTTTTGACTTTGGGCAAGGACACAGGGGCCCCATGATCCCCTATTGCCCGGGGCCCCAAGACTTGTCAGTCCACCCCTGGGGTCCATTATAAACCTCTATTACAGCCAACTATCAAGCCCTGATGAAAGGTAGCCTTGAGCCCCAGAAATGACTTTGTCCTTGGTGAGCCCCAGAAATGAGTTGGCTTTGTCTTGTGACATTTTGCCAAGAATAACGGCTTTTAGTGGACTTGAATGAACCTGTGGCCCTGTCATCCTTTGCTTGTTTCTCACAAAAGGGGAATCTTCCTTTATGGCACATGCACTATATCAGAGAGGCATTCATGGCAGGTTCTGGCCAACCATGATGTTGGCAGTGTAGGGCACTTGCTTCCTGCCATCCTCGGTGAAAGATATCTCCAACTAAGCCCAGCTATCTTCTTCTGTGTTTTTTGCTATGTCACATCTTCTTATGGGTGTTCATTACATTGTTCACCCCAATTGTCACGTATGAGGAGCTTCAGATTATGAGGGTGGCCTCTTGTACAAGTCCCATCCAAGCAAACCTAGAAATTGAGGCAGAGACTGCTATGGCAATGGAAGGGCCCAGGTGCTATTAAGCTGGAACGTCATACTTGATCTTGGGAGCGCGTTTTCAGGTAAGCAGAAGCACAGCGATGAAGGCCACCCCAACTTCACCCAAACCAGTAGGGAGCAGAGCTGAGTCACAAGCCAATTCTGTAACAGATGGACAGGAAGGCTCCAAATCACAAGAGGGATCAAAGTCAGAGATGAGCAGAAGTGTTGGGGAACTAGCCTGAGAAGAACTGGCATATTTGCCAATAACCAGCATGGCTGCATTAGCTTGCTCAAGAATGCGCGCAGATGCCCGTGAGAGCCGGTGCATGCAGTGCACATTGGAACACGCTAATTTGCAGTGGCGCACGCAAGGTACAATAGGTTCTGGCACCCAGTGGCCTTCATAAGGACATCAGCTCTGTTCACAAATTGCTGGATGATCGTCAGCCCCCTTTATCCTCCTGTGCTCCTGAGTATTACTGACCCGGCTTGCCTTTGGACCTTTCTTGGCTTCGACCTCGGCTTACTCTCAAGGACTTTCTACCACCTGATTCCCTGTGTATGACCCTGTCTTGATCCTGACCTCGCTCCTGCTTCTGTTCCTGCCTGACCTCCTGGGCCAGATGCTTCATCATCTCTGCTCATCAGGCAACTTCACAGCTGGCAACCCGTGGTTCTTTGGGCACAGCACCTTCAGGGGTACTCTGCACTCAGCCCTAAGGGAAGCCCTCTCAGCACTTCGGCCTCAGACCAGGTCCGTGACAAGAGGTTAGCAACATGCAGGCAAGGAGGCACAGAATCGACAGACAGAATCTTGGCCAAGAGTCCAGACCGAGGTCGGTAACAGCAGACATAAACCGGCAAGAGTAATCCAGAGGCAGGTCAGATGGAAACTGGGTTATTAATGCAGTCAAGCAGATTCAGGATCAAAGATAACAAAGATACAAGCTGAAAAAGGGGCGGACTGACAACTCATGGGGCCCTGGGCAATAGGAGATCATGAGGCCCCTATGTCCTTGCCCAAACTCAAAAAAAGCCTACGAAAAAGGTACCAGGGGCATCTCATGGGGCCCCCTACTGACCCCGGGCCCTTGGGCAGTGCCAGAGTTTCCAAATGGTCAGTCCGCCCTTGAGCTGAAAGACCATCCAGCAATGAGCCCAGGTTTAAATAGGCCATGAGGCACCAGCATCTATGGAGGACATGCCCGTGCTTCCACATTCACACTGTTGTGTGCATGCGCATGCATAAGGATAAAGAGTATCAAGCGAGCGCTACCTAAGAAGATCAGTAGGGGGCCCCATGAGATGCCTCTGGTACTCTTTCATAGGCTTTTTTGAGTTTGAGCAAGGACACAGGGGCCCCATGATCTCCTGGGGGCCCCATGAGTTGTCAGTCCGCCCTGGCATGCACACAATCTCTCCGATGGTTGACATGAGGTTCCTGACACCAAATGTGCAGAGATAATACCTGGAATCGCTCAGTACACCCCGTATTGGACTCCAAGGCCCTGCAACCTCTGATACTGCTTAGAGAACGACCAAATAAACACGTCGAAATGGATGGCAGGCCTGTCCACTTGTATCTAGCCGAACCCTCTGAATAAATGTCTTTCCCTAGACAGGTGAGCGCTGATATCTGGGACACGCAGGAAACATCGGACCTTTCCTAGATAAACAGTTCTCTGGGAATATCAAAGTCAGGTCCCTCAGACATTATACACCAAGGTTATTGAGATAATGAAACGTCACAGAGATTCTGGGAAGAGTGATAGGACGGTCTGCTGCCGGGGACACGGATCCATTCCCAATGTGCTGAGCTTGGAGGATCGCAGGGTTATAACTCTTGCGAAATTAACCTGTCCCCGGAAAGAGAGAGAACGCGGGTCCTGGCACAACATTAACACAAATAGATATCGCCGCCACCGCCAAGAGAGACTTATCAGTAAATTGGAAATCAAATTGCCAGATAACTTTTCACACCACAACCCAACGAGCCCAGAGAGTGGGGAATATTTCACTCCATAATGGGATGCTAATTAAAAAGTTATAAAGGGGTCATCTACAATTAGAATGGAAGGGTGCATCCTGGGTAAACGGGAAAATTAAAGCTGAACTCCAACCTTACATATTTTTTCCCTCCGGACTTATAGCAATGGCTCTGTTCAAAGATAATACTCTCAACTGGCTGCTTTCTGTCTTCCCCACAATATATACTCACCGGCCACTTTATTAGGTCCTCCTGTTCAATGGCTTGGTGACACAAATGGCTAATCAGCCAATCGCATGGCAGCAACTCAATGCATTTAGGCATCATTCTTGACTCGAACCTCTCCTTCCTCCCTCATGTCAAATCACTTGCAAACACATGCAGGCTCCATCTCCGCAATATTGCCAAGATACGCGCCTTCCTCACCCCAGACACCACCAAACTACTTGTACCCTCCCTCATCATCTCACGCCTGGACTACTGCAACTCTCTTCTCACCGGCCTACACAAGTGCAGGCTCTCCCCGCTCCAGACCATCCTGAACTCAGCGGCCAGACTCATCCACCTCACCACCCGCTCCACCTCTGCCACCCCCCTCTGCCTCTCCCTTCATTGGCTCCCGATTGCCCAACGCATCAAATTTAAACTTCTAATCCTGACCTACAAAGCCATTCACAACACTGCCCCTGACTACCTCACCAACCTGATCCCCAAGTACCACCCTACCCGTACCCTTCGCTCCTCACAGGACCTCCTTCTATCCTGCTCCCTGGTCTCCTCCTCCCACACACGACTGCAGGACTTCTCCAGGTCCTCCCCTATCCTCCATCCGACTGTCGCCTTCCCTCCCCACATTCAGGCACTCCCTCAAAACCCATCTCTTCAGGGAAGCCTACCCCACCCTCACCTAACGGTCATTCTCCCTCATTCCTCCCACCACTTCATCCCCCTCAGCCACTTCATTCCCCTCAGCCACTTCCTATTGTTCCACTGCCCCCCCCTCCTACTTGAAAGAGTAGGGCCTTCTTACCCATCGTACGCTGTCTGTTTTTGTTGTACTGTGCCATGTATTGCCCCCCCCCCCTCTATTGTACAGCGCTGAGCAAACCCTTTGGCGCTATATAAACTCGATGTAATAATAATAATAATAATCTAGACGTGGTGAAGACGACTTGGCAAAGTGCAAACTGAGCATCAGAATGGGGAAGAAAGGGGATTTAAAGCAGAGTTCCACTCGACCTATAAAAAAAAAAAAGTCAGCAGCTACAAAAACTGGGCAACACCCCTTCTGAGAACGTATGTGATTACGAAACGCGTGAAGGAGGAGCCTCGCCGCCGGATCAGGGAGGTCCGGTGGCCATCTCTCTTACTGACTGGACCCCTTATGCAATTTTTCAACCCAGCGGCTTCCTGTGACCAGACCCTACTACTGTACAGCCCTGATAAAGGTCCTCTGAGCGACAGCATTTACGTCCAGACTGACAAAGGAGGAGATCCCCATCCCAGGCGGCACTCCACGAGAGGGGAGACCCCCAGACTGATTAATATACATAACGAGCATTAAGATTGCGCTTCTGGTGAGTTTGCAATCCTACTACCTTTTCCGCACACCACCGGATTATTACTACCTCATGCTGGGATTATTTATTGTGCACCTGATTCTAGAACTGTTCATATGTTCTCTGGAGAGGTCATGTTCTACATATGACCATCACAGGTTGCATGAATACATGGGACTTTCTTAGAATGTTGGTTTTTGATATTGACGTTTACAATTATTCCAAAATTATTTATTATTTGCTGATCACGGCAGAGATTTATTATTATTATCTATAACTTTATACATTTTAGTGCTGCACTACTTTTTTGACTTTTAAAAAACAGCCACTTACCTGTCCCTCGGTCCCGTGTTGTGTCCCCCGCAGCCCGTTTCACTGGCCATCCTGGATTCCAGGAGGCCGGGATCTTCAGTGTTGGCTCCCGGCTGTGACAGCTTGTGGCTTCACAGCTGGGTACCCACTGCGCATGTGCGAGTAGCGCTGCACTTCATGAATGGTCCTGTAGTCTTCTGGGACCTGTCACATGTCCAAAAAGACAACAGGGAGGGGGAGGACACCTTATGTATTACACATGGAGATCATATCCCCCCCTTATGTATTATACATGGAGATCATATCCCCCCCTTATGTATTATACATGGAGATCATATCCCCCCTTATGTATTATACATGGAGATCATATCCCCCTTATGTATTATACATGGAGATCATATCCCCCCCTTATGTATTATACATGGAGATCATATCCCCCTTATGTATTATACATGGAGATCATATCCCCCCCTTATGTATTATACATGGAGATCATATCCCCCTTTATGTATTATACATGGAGATCATATGCCCCCTTATGTATTATACATGGAGATCATATCCCCCCCCCTTATGTATTATACATGGAGATCATATCCCCCCTTATGTATTATACATGGAGATCATATCCCCCTTATGTAATATACATGGAGATCATATCCCCCCTTATGTATTATACATGGAGATCATATCCCCCCTTATGTATTATACATGGAGATCATATCCCCCCTTATGTATTATACATGGAGATCATATCCCCCCCTTATGTATTATACATGGTGATCATATCCCCCTTATGTATTATACATGGAGATCATATCCCCCCTTATGTATTATACATAGAGATCATATCCCCCCTTATGTATTATACATGGAGATCATATCCCCCCCTTATGTATTATACATGGTGATCATATCCCCCCCCTTATGTATTATACATGGAGATCATATCCCCCTTATGTATTATACATGGAGATCATATCCCCCTTATGTATTATACATGGAGATCATATCCCCCCTTATGTATTATACATGGAGATCATATCCCCCCTTATGTATTATACATGGAGATCATATCCCCCCTTATGTATTATACATGGTGATGATATCCCCCCTTATGTATTATCAGGGCTTTCTTTCTGCCGGAACGCGGCCCTTATGTATTATACACTGGAGTTCCGCCACCTTTTTCTTCTTGTCCCCGCTCACTACCTTATGACTGCCTACTGCAGAGCTGACAAGCTATGCAGAGCAGCGAATGTGACAGGTGCCGGACGCGGCTTGTTTATGTCATGCTTGCGCGTGCCCGGCACCTGTCACTGCCGCTGCTCACAGCCGGTGAGCGGGGACATGCACGCTTCACCCCCCCCCTTACCGCCAGCGTGTAAACATCGGGGGCGCGCGGGCCACCCCCATAGGAAAGGTGTATCTTAGTACACCCGGCGGTGCGCGCTGACGTCATCATCGCCCTCTGCTCGTCGATCCTACCATAGCGCGGATCGTCAGCATCAGGTAAGGAGCGGCGATACAATTTTTCTCGCTTTTCTTGCTAATGTGGGGGGGGGGGGGGCAGTGTTACTCGCTATTCTTACTAATGTGGGGGGGGGGGGGCGGTTATGTAATTCCATACATTTACTTTTATAGCCCCTCCCAAATTTTACTTGCATTCCTGTTCTCTAAAGGGGTGGTCCTAGGGTTTGATGGGGATCGTGGCCAGGTGTTTATGGGGGAGTTCCACCACCTATTCCTCTGAGAAAAAAAGCCCCTGTGTATTATACATGGAGATCATATCCCCCCTTATGTATTATACATGGAGATCATATCCCCCCCTTATGTATTATACATGGAGATCATATCCCCCCTTATGTATTATACATGGAGATCATATCCCCCCTTATGTATTATACATGGAGATCATATCCCCCTTATGTATTATACATGGAGATCATATCCCCCCTTATGTATTATACATGGAGATCATATCCCCCCTTATGTATTATACATGGAGATCATATCCCCCTCATGTATTATACATGGAGATCATATCCCCCTTATGTATTATACATGGAGATCATATCCCCCTTATGTATTATACATGGAGATCATATCCCCCCTTATGTATTATACATGGAGATCATATCCCCCCTTATGTATTATACATGGAGATCATATCCCCCCTTATGTATTATACATGGAGATCATATCCCCCCTTATGTATTATACATGGAGATCATATCCCCCCTTAATCTCCTCTTCTCAGTAGAGAATACAT